CCCCCCCACCCCCGCTCCTCAGCTCCCAGTGGCTGCCCTTTCCCTCGGCCCCCCGGCCGCGCGCCTGTGGAACGCCAGCAGCGCGGTGATGCAGGCGCTGGTGCACTCCACGTACGAGTAGTCCACGATGATGTCACCAAAGGTCTCTGATGATGTCATCACAGGGGTGTCGGGGGCGGGACAGTGAGTCTCACAATCGTGCTGCCTGCTTTGAGTACATTCACAAGCAAAAGGGGCACTTGTGCTGCTGCACATGAGTCCAGAAGAATTAGGGACCCCGCATTTTAATGCTCGGCTCTGTCAGTGTGTGCGCCCTGCGGCCGGCCGTCACCCGCGGGGTTGATGATCTCCAGGGCGTGGAAGCTGCGCGTATTCTCGTAGGTGGCCATGCCGCCGTCACTTTTGGGGGTGAGTGGGATGGGTGGGTGGGTGAGAGGGTGGGTGAGTTGGGTTAAACGGGTAAGTTGATGGGGACGAGCGAGTGGGTGGGTGAGTTGGGTGGTTTGGTAGGAGCAGCGAGGGCAGCGAAGGGCGGCGATTACACTAGTGCATACGAGGGACAAAGGTTCAGGGCGGGGCAGGCTGCCAAGGGGGTGGAGCGCCGCAGCCCCTCGCAGGGGCGGCGGAGGCGGCTGGGGAGCGGCGCCGCGCGGCGCCACCTGTTTTGGTAAGACAGAATGACATTCACTGCATCGTAGAGCCGCTCAGGGGAGATCCCCGGGCCCTGATGGATCGAGGAAGAGGGGCGTGCGGAAGCGGGAGGGGCGCGAGGCGCGGCGGTCCAGATCACAGGGGGTTGAGTGATGAAAGCGCGCCTGGCAGGGCGGCATGAGAGTGAAGGTGCGTGCCTTCACAGGGTTTGAGGGTTAGAGGGCGGGCCGTGAGGTCCTGCGCCGCGGCCTGCCAGCTCTCAGGGCCTGCGAGGTGCGTTATACAATGTAGCGCGCTGCCGCACGAATACTCACTCTTGTGGCGCATGTGTGTGCTGGCACCAAAAGAGTGGGTTGTGCACCAAAACAGCGACACAGGGCGGGACGATGGAGCGGGTCTGAAGGGATGCAGGAAGGGGGGTTGCGGTGCGGGACGCTCACCACTTTGCCGGCGTCCTGCAGCGCCAGCACCACCGCCGCCTTGAGGCCCTCGCTGCTGCAGTCACTGATGGGCCACCTGCACGCGCGACAGGGTAGGGGGCGCGCGGGCGTGGGGGCTGGTGG